GTAGACAGATAAAATTTCTCCACCGAAAGTGCTATGTTTCCTTTGTCGTGTCTAGGTTTTTAGAGAAACATGTAGGGGAATGCAATTGTTGGTTAACACGTTGCTGAGGTATGGCACCTACTGCTACATTAGAGGTCCTGGTCATTACTGCTATGGGTGCATCCGCCCTTCACTGGGCAAACAATTCTTATGCACTTAAGGCGCTCTTCAATTGATCAAATATCTAAATTGCTTGTGGTGCCATCATAGATGATCTAGCGCGTCCTCTCGATAAATCAGTCAGCGGTTTCGCTGTGTCATCGCATTTCGGAATAAGACGTTAGTAAAATTTATTCACCTTCAGGAAGGATCGTAGTGTCTTGAATGAATCGGTTATAGGATATTTTGAAGGCTCATGTTTTTCCAGGAACTGGTCTGATACCTTAGTTTGTGGAGATATGACTGAAAAGTTTATTTTGTAAATAGTTTTTAATATTATTTGTATTTATTTTGTCAATCTTTCACTGTATGTACATTTATCATTAAATGACTCTACGTGTTGCTTATGTGAATGACCTTGAACACACTTTCCGTTGTGTAACTACATAGCGTGATATATTGTTGCTTGCTAACAAATACATTGCTACACACACAGCCCTCGTTCCATTTTCGTTTGTGATTGAGCTAACTGGAACCTAAATCAAATATTACCTACATTTATAGACTGTGAGTGGGAATATACCATACCTTGCATTGGATTACACTACGTACGTAGTGTGCTCTTCAATTGAAGAGCACTCTTACAAGAGCTGGATGTTTGCATTCATCTTTGATCGTGGTGAGTGGTCATCTATGGGAGCATATACATGCTGCTAGTTGTATATTACTTGGACAATAAAACTCTAAACGTTGTGTAGCATTCCTTGACCCTTAAAGCACGCAGACATTCCTTGTAGCTCGAAAGAGTAGTAGTAGGTGTTTTAAGAACGTCATCTGGATGAATTAGAATTTGATTATATGGACGGAAGAAATCGAGTTGCAAAATCGCTGTATCAGATAGACCATGAGTAAAGTCATGTCAGAGTGGAAGAGAGTATCTATCTGGTATAGTCCGACTGTTAAGTGCTCTATAGTCGCCCCATGGTCTAAAATGGGAAGAGTGCTTCATGATTATCATACGGAGTGTCGATGCCCACGGACTACCGGAAGGGCTTATGGTGCCTCACTTTATCATCTTGTTGAGTTTGTTCTTTGTGAGAGCAAGACGAGAGGGGCCGAGAGGTCTTGGAGGTGCAAACACTTGTGATCCCTCCGTCTTAATGTGGTGTGTGACGGTATCAGTTTGTCACGTTTAAAACTCAGCTGTAGTAACTATGGTGACTGTTCGAGCAAAGTGGTATACTTATCCTTCTCATAGTGACGTTTTATCAATATTTGTATGAAAGTCGCGTCGGATATATTTCTTTTGATTTCACAGTTATCATTGGCAAATGCAAATTTCCGGATTCTAACGTATACGAGAATTTCATGGGATTGCAAGAATTCAATGCCGACTATGGAAACTAAGTCATCGGATGCGACGGAGCTTCAGGAAAAATCGCAATCGTGACCAAAGTATAATTATAGCTGTCTATTCCCACACTTTTTAATTTTTGATCTATTTGTAGCTTGCATTTCTAGTAGGAGGTTAGGTGATTTTTTTCAAGCTTAGTAGTTGGTACTACATTACCCTTAACCTCATTGTCGACTAAAAACTGTGTTCCAGTCCTTTTATCTGTGACATATAGCAAACAACTGTCTTCGGAGTTGTGGCCGGAGACCGGAGTCATCAATCGTCAGCTTTAAGGTTTCTCTACCGTGTTCGTAAAGTTGCAGGAAGAATGCTTTTTTTCGGTTGAATGCCTTAAGTTCCAAGATAACGGCATGTGTCATGTCGGCTGGTGTTAAGACTACGGTGTTTACAGTTCCGGAGTCTTCGTCAACACATGCATCGGGAGGAATATTCCAGAATGAAGGTTGAGCTACCTGATTGGTGTGGATCTTGAGTTTTTGTTGTAACTCGTTAGTGGAGTTTGTGTGTGTTTGTGGTAATAATTGGGTTCTAGTCTGCTCTTAAATTTTGTCGCCTACGTCTCCTTATCTGTCAGACTCGACGTCTACCTCTCAAATTGCTAATATTTGTTGAATTTTTTGACGGAGGCCTCTGAACCACAACTGATATAACACGCGTTCATCTACAAGACAATTCCTCATTTTCCTGTAGAGAGATGTAAGTCTACTAGATCAAGTACAGAGATGAGCAATCAAACAGGTGATATAGCTGAAACACTAATCTTATAAGAACAAATCCCAGCTCCTGGGATTATTCTCGTCGAGCTTTAGGAGAATAGAAGGTGATTTGATAACGAAATACAAAATATTGAATGCGCCAAACCACCCCAATACGAGCATATTATCAGGACATCATTGCCACGCTCCTCGAGGCAACCCTCGAAAAATTGCACGTGGAAGAGAGAACACCCAGGTCCGTTCTCACTTTTTCTCATTGAGAGTTGCTCATATTTGGGATGCTCTGCCGGCTGAACCGACTAAAGCCTCCTCAGTGAAAGGCCCCAATTGGAGACATGACGAACAAATATTCACCCTTGGATTACCATCTCCCTCTTGAATCAGCTGTGCCTGATGTATGTCTCGTAAATTTTATCATCATCACATAATATCAACTTATTTCTACCTTGCTTATTATCATCTCCGTTTTCCCTTTTGCTTTCACACTTCATTCTCCTCATACTGTCTGGACCACAAGTTAATGAAATTATTCGTTTAGTAAGTTCTTGTGACAATCGTCTCCCCCTAACATTTGAGTTCTCACTTCATTATTTCTATAATTGCTACCAACAGAATTCCCGTCAGATAATGTGATAACTGTTGGCTCTAGAAAACCTACTGACCTGAGACAGATCCAGTCACTTATATTGCAAGTTTTTAAATTGTATATTTTGTGTTTAAACCCTAAAACTGTTGAGAGGCTGCCGCTCATTCACCATTACCAGAGATCTGATTAATAGTGAAGATATTATCTGTCATTAGGGTTGTTATTGTTATATAACTGCTTAAGGCTGTATGATCTTTTACGTCTCCATCTCTATGCGAGATGCGATAGTTTGGACTAATTCAATAATATTGTTTCGCACTATCAATATCTTCCAATCTCAATCTACCAAGAATTGACAGTCTTCTGTCCAGTTTCATCCTCATATTTTGGACGAACCGTTAGCGGATATTATCAGCACTTTGGATCAGGTCTTACAACTACTAAATTGATTCAAAATTTTGTCTCACTGATTCACAGTGGGTATGTCTCCTAGTTAATCTGTGAACAAATGGGCCTCATACCTCTGAGCCAACAGTCCCATCTCATAAAGCACTCCCTAGAACGCTCTGCGTCTCATAACGGATTTCGCCGACAAGTATTTTGTAAAATCAATTTAACTAGTAAGACAACTGGGCTATAAACCAACTGGGTCGAATATAGAAGCTATATACAATAAAATGGTTCTCATCATATGGGTCGCCTTGAATTCACACGCTCTGAATTAGATCTTATCCATTCGAACATTCCACTCTATTCATATTGTCCTTTCATTTCTTTCCGTAGATAAACAGATGTCTACATTTCTTCCTATTAGGTCTTCTGGAATAAACTTCATTAGTTCAATACTGTTGCTCGTCGACTTGGTCAGACTAAAACTTAAATGTAGGATTCCCTTCAACTGAGTGCATCACGATCCTGTGGTGGGACAATCACTTGATGAAACATAGCTCCAATATCTGCCGTGAGACCTATTGGCCGTCACTAAAATATAGTGAAGACATCTGCCCGATGATTGACTAAATCTGGTCCAGAATACAAGATTTTATTCAGCGACATATATTGCACTACGTTGTAGAATACGATTTTTATCTCATCAGATTTTTTCGGATATAAGAAAGATGGGGCAGCAAGTGCAAAATCCGGTACCTAATGCGATTCTCTGAAGCCTTTTCGGCGCAGCCTCGTTCAACATATTGCGTCCATACATTTAAATTTTCCTTCTGCAAACTTTTGCCACAGATGACCCGGTTCCCCAAAAAATTTAATCTACTCACTGCTAGTTCTGTATTATTAGGTAGGTTTTCTTAGTGACACCAGGGTAGAGCTATTTGGTAATGCCCGTTTAATACCTGCATAGATTTAGATATAGCGCCCAAGGTTTTACGGCATTTAGATGTGTGCGCACGGTGAATCGGGTCTATTTTAAACCTCACATTATATAATTCGTCTGATCTAGCTCCTCCTCTATACTTAGACGATAGATAATTTGTGATACACACATATTTCGTGGTCTCACTGCAAGGACCAAACGACACCCACCCTAGAGGAGTTTTCATAGCATATGGCTCGTTAGATTTTTTATCTCTCTTTTCTGTTATCTCATGTAAATTGCAGTCTATCAGTACTTTGAAATCCTCATTGGGTTACTGAATAAAATGTACAGACACTTTTATGTATGTATCCATAGAACTCTAACCCTTAAAAAATTTATCTATTTCTTAGCCAATGAAATGCACTTGTCCATCAGGTCACTTCTGATTGCCACCGACTGACATTCTCATTAGGCTGCTTCTGATTGGCTTACTATGTCAAAAGCTCCAAGCATTTTTGAAGAGACCTCCTGATGAGATGTCACCTGTACGGGAAAAATACTCTAGAATCGATTGACATCGAGAAAGATTTATGTGAAAAGGCATTCCTATAAATGTTGAACTAACAAGTCTCAGCTCCATAACAAATTGGATACTAACTCATGATCCGCAAACTGTAGCCCGTAAGCATAAGGTAAGATTGTGGAAATCAGAGATGCGAGTTCAGATATATGTCGCAACAAACCTTACCAGAAGTTTAACACTAACTATGATATATGTGAAACAGATATTTACTAGCGTCTTCATCAGCCGCTAAGTATGATCAAACACCAGAGGGATCATATAATTGTTTATGTTGTGAGAAATATTCTTTTTACTACAGAAAGCAAAATAAACAAAATGTAATTAATTGGTGCTAATATTTACCAAATTAGTAAAACAATGGTGGAAAAAACATGGAAGCGTTTTTCTGAATGCGTAACATTATAATAACTATCACAGTTAACACCAGAAATTCAAGTTTTCAAAATATAATATGATAAAATTTTCAAAAGGGACAAAAACCAAAGAAGGCATAAATATAATAAATGAATTAACACAGTAACAAAGGAAATACACACATCACAGGTGTAACTAATGTGTAATTGGAGGAAAAAATCCATATAAGCGAATACATTTTGCCACAACAATATGATGTTCAAGCGTACTTCTAGGCATCCGTGACTTGACCAGCCTTTTTCGATATTGTATCTGGATTACCGATTGGTCCAATATCAGAAAACAGATTTAACCAAGCATCTAGATTTGTGGGCTATTGTAAATTCAAAGTATAAACGAAAACAACACAGTGGTGAAAAGATAATAAAGAATCATAACTAATTATTACCGCAAGACGAATATTAGTAATAACAGTTAAACTGTAACGGTTGAGAAAATCATCAAAATTGACTAACCATATATTATTAAACGAAGCACTAGTCACTGATACCATATAACCATTAGATTTTAAGTAGGAAGATTGATTTCTTGCAAAGTGAACGCTCGACTTATTTAGTAAGAATAGGTCAGATCTGTATAAATTGGACAATAATAATTTAATGGCTTACTGTGTGAACACGTATTTACAATAATATACAGTTAAGCATCTCTAATCATTCTTAAAACGGCCGAGGGTGAGGAGAGATCGCTCTTCCAATTGAAATGCCCACATATGGCCACGTGTATACAGCCACGGCCGCGGTGTTGTTTACGAGACTGTCAATCAGCAGTCAACAAGCAAACTGAAATCGACCCAATCTATCAACCAATCGGGAAAGTTATGGACAAACATGGGACAAAAAATTAAACCAATCGGATATACAACCAAAACAAAGAAGTGAACAATGACAGGTTTAAGGTCAACAATAACCAATCAACATCGAGGTCCATAGGACAAATTGTGAACCATATGTGGAGAAATCCGAACACCACTTCTATCTGAAGTTTGTGCTGATGATGTCGTTCAGAAGAATGATGAAAGCTCTACGACTAAACTATCCAGCTCAGAGAACAAGACTCCATCAAAATCTGGTGTTGATTGAGTCTAGTATCTATATATTAGTATAGAGTATTGATGAGGAAGCAATTAGAAAGAAATACTTCTTAATTCAACTTGTGTTTTGAATATACACAGATGTCATCTTTCACCTTCAGTTGGACAAAAACTGGGGGAAGATAAATGCCATGTCATTTCGCCAAAAAGCTAATGAGTAAATAAGCTACTCGAAAAAGACATGTAATCAGTAGGTACCAAACAACAAAAGACTATTTGATATTATCCGACCACCGATTGGGATTTCCAAACGCAGAACATTATTTTAAGTATGGTATGGATTCAGCTGTGAGATAGTGAAAGTTTGTAAGGACGAGTGACAATTATCAGTTTGCCAAAGCAAACTAGATAGAACGGGGTTCTAAACCACGATATTTAACTACAAACTTAATGTTTTAACTACGAAGGAGCCAATCCAGTTACACAAAAAAACATGGGCACAGTTACCTGTTGGGATGATAATGACTTTGGGGCATTTGAAATGGTACCCAGAGAGTTTTCACTTTTTTTTAACTGTTGTTCGGATTGGTTGTTATTATTACTAAATGCAGAAGTATTCACGTTAGTACACTCCAAAGATGACTTCGTCGATTGAGTACCAATTAAATTGGAAGTGCCTGGGTTGAATAAATTTTGGAATTCCTGTTCTAATAAGTGTGAAGGAAGTATTGATGTCCTGAGTGTATCCTAATCATATCAAAAGTGGCGAAAATAGAAGCATATACAGTTCGAATGAATTCAGTTAGATTCAATGAATGTTAAAGTGACTAACTTAAATAATACATCAGACACCCACTTGTTAAAGGGGATTTTTCATCAAGGAATGGTATCAGAGTTAAAAAAAACCATTATAAATCAAGATACATCATGACACCTACTTTATTTAGGAGTCGTTATTCGTTATGCTTATACAGGGTTTGGCACTTTTATCATCTACCTAGTTAAAGTCACGTTACTGATTCATAAGGAGAATATGACGAAAACTAATTTGAAACATGTCATTATCAGGTACTTCATGTTACTTTGCAGGGAGCATGGTTTGGTTCCTCTAATTACGACCCAGCTACTCTTATTGCTTAGCATTCTTTGGACGCTTTATTTTACTCGAAAAATCCCCGAATCCGAACACGAATGAACAGGAACGTGATAATGTTACAAATAAGCAAAGTTGAATGGAAATAGGAATCACAATAAGAAAAACATTAGTAATATTTATAATTTTACACAAGGAGATTCTAGAGTTTTTCCAAAGTATCTGCTACCACTGATTGGTTAAGAAACAATTGATCAGCATGCACCAACACAAACCTCCACGGAACATGTTTTAATCCAATCTATATCCCCCTAACAAAGCAACTGTTTTCATTCGTTTTCAGTTGGAAATAAAATTACTCTTCAAATTAAAGAAAGACATTGAATTCTCTTAAATCAAATAACTAGTGTTAACAAAAAACTCTTCGTGATGCTGAACATAATATCGACCAAGCTAATGAATTATTAACAAAGTAGACTATAAATAAATAATATATTTGTAATATCCCAATGAGTAGAAACTTAGATTTTCTGACGTTTCGTGATATAGTGAAAGTCACTTCTTCAGAGAATAAATAACCAAATTAAAATTAATCCAAGTTTAAATTGTCCCGCTGTACTATTCAAACTTGGATTAATTCTAATTTGGTTATTTATTCTCTGAAGAAGTGACTTTCACTATATCACGAAACGTCAGAAAATCTAAGTTTCTACTCATTGGGATATTACAAATATATTATTTATTTATTTATAACAATCTACCCAATGCTCAATTTATTCGAAATTATCAAATCAAACCTTGGTAATGATACCTACAAAGTAGACTATCGCATGAAGAAGTTGAACAATATTTCACTTACTTTTGACCCTACACTCTGCAACGGTCCGAAATCAGCGTTTTGGCAAGGCTGATTCAAATCGCTAAAGACAGCTTCCGAATCATTAGTGAATCCGTCTTTATTTCCGAAATTGAAAGGACCTTTATTACAAGCAAAAAAAGAATTAAAATTTCTTAGAGTATTTTGAAGATTTATGTATTGTGTTAGGAAACAAATCATAGGTTTTCTGGAAAGATCAAATCCTTACGAAGGCTCGTAATGATCCTCAATTTACCAAGCTGGGATTGAATGAATATCTTAAACTCATTTTTAGTAGTTCAAAGGCGAGATTGTTCAAGTTACTGGATTTTAATGTCTTTTTAATTTCGCAATGTTTCATGTTGTTCAGTATCCGGACAAAAGTTACTGAGACTGAATGGTCAATTTTAGTCCCCGAGTGGTACTACTTATATCTGGTACCCTTAATAAAATGGGATATTTAACTTCTATCAACAACTAATACCATTTTAATGTTATCAAAATCTGTAAACCACCAGTTACAAAAGTAAGCGCACACGTTGATGATTAGGTTGATAAAACTCGAAAACATGTTTTCCTGAGTTGCAGGAGATAAGGATAATAATATGATATTTAATAACCTCGATCGAACTCATCTAATAAGTTATAACATATTCGTAACTTATATAATAATAGTAAATTGATAGAACCTGTGGGTTTGTTAATCTCGATCGATGAGAGTGAATCAAACAATAATATCTGGGCTAAACGCCCACCACTTCAGACTCATTTAGTCCCAGACTGGCTATTATTATGACCAGTCATGAGATTGCACCGGTAGTATAAACATAACCCTTGTTATTGGTTGATTTTATTGTGTCCCTGCTACTGTTCGGTATGCGCGTGTTTATTGTTCTCTTTGTAATCGGCTACTACTTTTTGTTTTTTTGTGCTAAATGTATTCATCTACATCTTAGAAACAGATCGTAATTGTTGATTATACACATAGTTATCTGTTTTGACTATATCCCTGCCAAGTTTGTATGAGACAGCATAGGGACATATTCAAGAAATTCATCTGTGGGTAAAGATTAAATCTCATAGTGTGAAACATTTCTCTGTGTTAATGTGGTATGTTCAACGCGAATTTGTGCCAGTTTCTACGTTGATTACGATTGAATGGATGACCCATTATACCCTTCATTGTTACGATAACCTGAGTAACCAAATGATATATCATCAATGTTGGAGAAACTAAACTTTCAAAAAACGTTTTTGGACACATATCAATTTCCAAATCCATATATTAATTGAAAATGAATTCGATTCATGAACTTTTAGTGCTATTGCATTTGTATAGACTGAGTCCTCGTGAAATCAGTTTGTGGTCTGTCATTATATTAATTAATTTATATGTATTTTGCATTCAAGTAATGACTTGATTGACAATTATTGAAATTAACCAGCATATTCAATCGAAGTAGATGTAGTTCAAGATTTACATCCAAGTTAATTCAGTTATATATCAAAATCCAATGAACACTACATACCGAGTTTTATCAACTGTGTAATTAATTGTCTTTGAAAACAAAATCACAGTAAAATAACCGATACAAGGAAAATAAAGTGAAAATCAAATGACAAATTACAACTGAACCACATTGAAAGTTAATGAATAGAATTCCTTATGAATGATCTAATACAACAAAATGCTTGGAGTTGACTGGACGAAAACCACCCTTAATCGATATACGAAATTAAAATTGATCTTCCGCATACGTCGTAATTAGGAACGCATAGTATCACTGAAAGTACGGTATTGATGATGCAATTAAAGTTATAGAATCATCTTCCGCCTCGTAAGAGGAAGAAATCTTCAAGTTTAAAAAACAGTACTCTACTTGTTTACACAGTAAAGGCATAAATGGACACTTTAGGAAATAAAAAAATCTGTCTCATTACCATAAAAAACTTACGAGCATCCACTCCAGAAAGGTGTCCAGCAAATCTATCATCTTTTGCATCACTAAGAAACAGATCAGTGAACAAATCTCTATGATCAGCAGGGACTTGCTCACTAGATTCATTAATCAGACCTAAAATTGTTAAACCGAACAAGATCATCAGTCCCTAAAACATTATGGCAAAGTAGAAGCGAAAATGGGCAAAACGTATACAAGGTAGTTGAAGCATATATTCATAATAGTTATTACGCATACAACTAGAGTAACTATTTGAATGATGAAACAGCATGTAGGAAAAAATTAATTAAATGATGAACAGTTGTAAGCGACACAGAACCTGGCACATGTATGCATTCATCCAAATTGGTACTCCGTATTAGTAAAGTGGTATTTATTTAGTTATTTAAACACATTAACATTAGTACACGGAGGCACAAAATAGAAATGCAACACACAAAATCACTCAATTTATGTGAGGTCTGGGATACTGCTTAAGTGCCACTCCCTGGGCCTTTGACCGTAAGGTCTAATCCACGAGGTAGTGGAGTAACGTAAGGAGATAGTCTTATGGTTGCCGATGACCAACAATAGGCTAATACGCCATTTGTTTCTTTAGGATCCTGGAGCCCATGTGCACCATTGGTTTGAAATCAGGGTTTTTCAACTCTCTTAGGTGGACTCGCCGTGTCTACCAACCCGGTTAAAGTGCCGGATATTCGCTTTTCGTCCTCCCAATTTCGTAAACAACACCGGTGCCACGACAAGAGTTATAATTTGTCGTTTGAATGCTTATTGTCTTGGCTCTTTCAATGCTACTTTTTGTATCTGATCGTCGCTGATTGTTATTGTCGGAAACGCTTATCACTTATACTCGGAACGAGGGACCTCTGCAACTCCCACGATGCGAAAGTAAGAACACAAAGACTGGTATAAGTGATGATTTATTAGCCCAAAGCACTATGACGACGACAACGACTCTAGTAGAAAATACACTCATTTATATATTGATTGTACACCCATTTTGATTAATAATTAGGATGAACTCACATTTATGAAAAATACTTAGAGTTATAAAATATCACAGACTGAGCATAGTTCATGTCAATAGAATACAAGAATATCGCATATTATACAGTATAAAATATCATACGAGACAATAAAACAACTACTACATTGAGTAATCATTACATTGAATCAAAACGGAAGTAATGTTGAACAAAACTGATAATGAGTAAATCAATCGAAAATTGAATTTTCTTTCCATCATATCAATAAAGCAGTGAGTAGGACTTTCCTGCCAGTGGTTGTATGCACGTGGCGATGTGAGAGCATTTCGAGATATGAAATTGAGACAAATCCCAGAATAGTAGGAGTAGTAACAAAACCAGTTGCATTAAGAAACATTGGGCGTAAGCAATATAACTCGAGAAGGAAGGCTATCCTTAGCCTCATTTCGAAATATTTCTACACCATCAACCATTGAGAGTCATAGTGGGGGATGGTTGGACGTATGTAATACATAACCCAACCACACAAGACGATGAACGTTCATAGCCTTATCTCATAGCTTATCATTAAAACATCAAATTTTACAAAAAATACGTTTTACTGACATTGAGAAGCGTTTGAACAACTTTACAAAAACATAGTACTAAAAATTAACCTTACCACCAATGTTATTGTTGTCTTCAGTTCCACCAAAACTGGTTTGATTCCCTGATGATTTAAATTGATCTGAATCAAAGTCGAAATTATTACAATGATTTTCTAGGAAAATTTCATCTAATCTTTTATCAAATTCTTCTTCATCTGTTAATTTTGTTTGATGTATTCCATGGTTATTGTCATCAGAATTCATAATTGCTGGATCACTTAATTCAACTTGGTTAAATCCACTGTCTAACCTGTATTTTAAAAATAAAAAAGTGAATAAGTATGAATATATTTTTAGTAGAAGACACTGAACACTCCTAAACTATGGACAAACAAACCAAACTACTTAACATTGACTGCTAAGCAAATCTAAATGAAACAAATCTTCTGGTGCATTAACTGATGATGAGGTGATTAAGTAATCCACTCTGGTCCCCGAAAAAATTAATTAACTTCGCTGTATTGAAGTCTGTTTAATTTAACTAATAATCTGATACCAATAATATACCGCAGCACATATCGTCACATTAGAGGGAATTGTAGTTGACTTGACTATTATCAACATTTCCACAAATTGTCACTAAGTACGACCTAATTTATGTGCATTTGAGCCACAATATTTGTGTGAGGTGTGCGGATAATACTCGGCTACTTAAGTTAAAAAAAATGAAGTGTACAACCAATTAGTTGAAGCTGTGTTGTGTGAACACACTAAGCCGCTACTGATTTGCATAAGTTCATCATTTTGGCCAATAACATATTTTTCGCATACTTGAAAAGTTAAGGGATAAATGAATTTTTTTCTCCTCTACATTGTGAAACGTGAATCCATAGTAACGGATAAAATATATACGAAAAATCATGATGTTTGTATGTTACATGAATATTTAGCTGAATTAGTTTTCCTACTTCGTACTTTCATCAATAATTATATATTAGAAGGGATTTTTGTGAATATTATAGTAATCTGAATAGTTGAGATAATGATTCCAATCATGAGACTGATAGCTGCTGGGTTTGAATCTCGCGAAGCGGGATCGTGGATGCGCACTGCTGAGGAGTCCCACAATAGGATGAAACGGCCATCTAGTGCTTCCAGGCTTTCCATGGTGGTCTAGCTTCAATTGACTCATGATCTCAACTATTGAAACCATACATTAGTTCATTAATATATGACAGATACACAGCATTCTTAAACTCATTTACCATGTACAGATTTATGTATTTGGTCACACTCTAAGTGCAGGGGTTAGTGATATCACCCAGTTGCCCAAATCAAACCAGGTGGGTAGGGGTTCAAACCCGTAACTTTGTGCTTGAAACTCAAACGTCTTAATCGCCGAACCATCTTTCTGCTGCTCAATATTGGAAACTTACTAATAAATACCTAATTATACCGCCCCCAAATGCCCTGGTACGGCCGAGAGTGGGGAGAGTCCGCTCTCCCTCTCGAAATGCTCTCACACGGCCACGCGTATATAGCCTCTGCCAGGGAAGTCCTACTCACTGCCTTCTCGTGGCGGGGGTGTTGTTTACGAAAATGAGAGGACGAAAAGCGAATGTCCGGCGCTTTAACCGGATTCAAAACCAATGGTGCACATGGGCTCCAGTATCCTGCAGGAACAAATGGCGTATGAACCAATTGCTGGTCACCGGCTTCCATGGGACTGCATCTCCTTACGATGCTCCACTGCCTTGTGGATCAGACCATTAGGTCAAAGGCTCGGGGTGTGGCCCCCTAAGAAAACCACCTGCTTCGGTCTGGGCACCCGGGCAGTATCATAGCCCTCACACATCGAATGAGATTTGTGTGGCGCACATGTATTTGGTGCTTCTTTGTACCATTATCTATGTGTTGAAATAAAAAAAACCTAATTATACCAAACTATTCCTACATACTTCGTACTGAAATAAAATTAATGATGTACTGAATGACCGGATATCAATCATAAAATGAATATCCTATCGACAACACGAATTTTACGTTTGCATCAGAAACCAGATAGAATCACACTACCCCAGTATATGGAATATTTGAGGTTAAGTTGATTGTGAATAAAAATCAGTTTTGAATAGAATCAGAATAATTCTTCTGAAAACAAAGTGAAAGATTTCAGCCATGTCATTATAAATAAAAAGCACCGATGATAAACCCTTAAGTGCAATATGACGCTTTGTCTGAATTGAACATCAAAATGAGGAAAAATGTGACAACTGAGAGCAAAACTCTTCAACTCAAACCAGAACCTTGAATAAATACAAAAATTCTTTCACCAAATAAATTGCAAGTGTCTGAAACCTGGAAAGTTCAAGGAAATTTTTCAGGATCGTCGTATCAATAGGCAAACTCAAAGCCAAACAGAGACACACGCACACACATTTACCAAGTCACGGTTTTTTGTCTCTCTGTGGAATCATCACATTTTAAAGCTTCATATCCACTAGGGATGCATGAATGAATTGAAGATAATATACACGAGGTTTTGCAGTTCCTCAAAGATTGATTATGAGTATATCCCGCATCACTAGATGAAGAAGAACTACATTCACTTCCCTCATTATCACCTCCCTTTTTTTTTGCTTTCACATTACCATTTTCGCTGGTTTGTAACGAAAACAAAAAAAAATTGCAAAAATTAATATTAAAACTAAAAGTGCTTCTATCCAAGATACTCTGAGCGTTAAGGGTATAAACAAATGGTACAAAATGTATTTATAATTAGAGAAATTAAAGTTTGCGGCATTTGGTTCCATCCTCTAGTGACAACTGAGATGTAATACTGACAAAAATCGTCAGAAGCAGCTGAAAATTACTTGTGTTCATTTTGCTTTGGTCTCCAGTTGATAATAACTGGGGCAAGAAGTAAAACTGGTAGAAAAAAATTCTTATTCGTGGATAACCCTATCTAGCGCCTAGTTTAGATAAATAACTGGAGCGATTCATAGTGCAGTTCATAATATTTAAGTTCGTGATTCGTGAGAAATTTCTATTTACTTATAGACAGTTATTATTACTTAATGATATTTAGTGAAAGAGCAAGAAAACCCAGAGAGATCTAAATAATTGTTTAACCATAGTTTGGAACCTTTAGAGCGCTTGTGAAATTGAACCACAACTGCTAATATTGAGACGGAAGGTCTGTAGCTCATAATTTGAATATTTTAGCTATTATAAATGAATGACAGTAAACCCATATGCAAACAAATTTAGAGGACAATGACAATGACATGAAACAGTGCCTCCACATAAAAGGTCACGGTTAACTAATGTATTCACCGCAAAATTCGAGGGTTTGATCAAAAGTCAAATCTCTTTCAGACCAACAGAACTATTACATGGATGATACATCAGAATAATGGGATCTCATGGTGAACACATTAGGTTTGATCTGTTGTGTCGAAATACAATTACTAGTTCGTATCACCATGATTATGCTCCAAAGTTGTTCGCATATATATATATATATATATATAAATTAAAATAACGAAAAATTACCTATCGCTGTCTTTCTCATCATCGCTCTTATATCCAGCCAATTTACGACTTTCTGGTCTCAAATGCCGAAGAATTGAAAATTCATAGTATTGGTAACCTCTGAAACTTTCTGCTACTGCTACCATCATACTAGTGATAAGAACATTTTGAAAAAGGTATTTTGCTTTGGTTTGAAAATAGTATTTAAATGTAAAAGTAGAAATAGTATTTGTATAGAAACTATTTTCAACTTGGCTGTCGGCATACACATAAAAGTAAATTTTACTCACTCGTGAACCTGCGATGAAAAAGTAACCCTGTTTATAAAAATAATAGTATGTATAGTTTATTATCGCTACGCTATGATACACGAGATGGTTCAGTCGTGAACCAGGTTGCCTCAAAAGTTGTTAAAAGTGTGTGGGTGGATTTCATTTGCCTAGGACTCAGTATCTAAGTGGATACCGCGATGGCGTTTGAAGCGAACGATACTGAGTTCAAGTCCCGGAGTGGACATCAACTCTGGGATGTAGGAACATCCAAACGACGGGACCCAAATAGGATGAAACGTGAGTTCTGGATTCCACTGCTAGCCACCGTCCTAGCCCCCAAATGCCCTGGTACGTCCGAGAGTGGGGTGGGCCCGCCCACCCTCTCGGAATGCTCTCACACGGCCACGCGTATACAACCACTCCCAGGGAAGTCGTACTCACTGCTTTATCGCGGCGGGAAGTGTCGGGAGGACGAAAAGCGAATATTCGGAGCTTTAGCCGGGTCGGTAGACACGGAGAGTTGGGAAACCCTGATTCCAAACCAATGGTGCACATGGGCTCCAGGATATTAAGGGAACAAATGGTGTATGAACCAATTGTTGGTCACCGGCTACCATGGGACTGCATCTTCTGACTTTGCTCCACTGCCTTGCGGATTAAACCTTTAGGTCAAAGGCTCGCGGTGTGGCCCCTTATGAAAACCACCTCTTCCGGTCTAGGAACCCGGGCAGTATCACAGCCCACACACAATTACAATAAAAATGATGATATTTACTGAAATTCTATTCTCGCTTCGACTTACAGTCGAACAACTCACATTATTACTATTTACTACGTCATTTATTCACTCTCGTTTATTCCCACTTGATATATCCTTATTTTTCGACTTGTACAGCAGCCCGCCTATGGTGGAAACTCTGTTCTATCTAAACGATCTTGATTCACTGCCTGGTCGAAACTTGAATGCTTCCACCGAATAAGAATACTGAAACAATTTTTCTGAAACCACGTGCACCATTCAAACTGGCTGCTTTCAACGTTCGCACACTTATGCAGGTCGGACAACAGATAGGGCTGGCTATGTCTTTAGAAAGTTTTAGTATCGACGTTTGATGTCTATTCGATACCCGTATTCAAGACTGGTGAAGTACTACAAATTCACTCTCCATCTGTCGCTTCAAAAGGCTTGTTTTACGTGCGCTTATCCAGAGATCCTGTGGCATCTTCGTCTGGTCTCGCTGGCGTTGGTGTCCCACTAAGCGCTAGAGCTGAGGGAGAACTAATCGATTGGATCCCCATTAACAGTCGGTCATGTGCTGTTAGATTAGAGAGTTCCATCAAAGTGAGAAGAAATCGGCGTGAGAAACCATGTATTTTCGTCATCTCCGCAATGCCCCGACAGATTGCAGCCCGGATGCAATCAAGGATGAATTCTACCACCAATTGTCTGTTCTTCTCCAGAAAGTGCGTTCAACAGATATTGTAGTACTAGCCTGAGACTTGAATGCTCAGGTCGGACGTCTAGGCACAGAAGAGAGTCGTTTAGGTCGCCGATGGAGACTTGTTGGTCGCAGGACATATAACAGGGATCGTCTACTGCAAGTGTGCACAGACCACAACCTGTTTCTGGCTAGCACTAACTTTCGGCACAGTCATCACCGATGTGCCACCTGGTGTCCTCCCTCTGCATCTCAAGCCTGGACTCAGATTGATCACATCGCGACCAGCTACCGCTGGCGTGGTTGTGTACATGACTGCCGCTTCTTTTGCAGTACCTATCTGTACTCTGATCATGCCCTGGTCTGTGCCAATCTTACCTTACTTTTCAGTGGCCAACGAAGTGACCAGTACCAAAGGATTGGTGTCAGCAAGTTGGTTGCAACTTCTGTTGCTAGTAAGTATCGAACCGAGCTAGCTTCTAGGCTAGCCACCATTCCACCGAAAAGTATAGATGAGCATTGGTTGCAATTGCATGACGCCATGAAAATGGCGAGTACAGTCAGCTGTGAGATCGCGAAACGCCCCGCTTATAAGCACTGGGTTTCTGCAGGTTCCTTATAACTCATTGAAGCCCGTCGGTCTACTCCGGGTGACCGTGAGTTTGACCACAAACGAAGGATGTTACGTAATGAGATTGGGCAAAGCTTGCGTAAGGACCGAGAAGCCTGGTTGTCGGAGCGTGCTAATGAGTTGGAAGCAGCAGCTGCATCTGGTAACTACTGGAAGCTCTTCCAACTCATCCGAGCCACTGGCAGCAAGAAGTCTGGTGTGAGCTAAACAATCTGTGAGGATGACGGGATGCCAATCCCTAACATCTATCGACGTCTTGGACGATGGGAAGAATTCTTCGAAGGGCACTTCAACTGGCCCGCTGCCTCGGAAACATCGATGACTCATGGAATGAGTCGATAGTTGTCCCAGATGACTTACCTCCGGCTCTTTATAAAGATGGTGGTGACTTTCTGACTAAGGAACTGACGACGTTGTTTACAAAAGTCTGGGAACTAGAGAGTGTACCAACGTCATGGAATGAGTCGATAGTTGTCCCTATCTTTAAAAAGGTTTCACGTCGTTCCTGTAACAACTATCGGGAGATAAGTCTACTTCCGATTGCGTCCAAGCTATTGGCTTCCGTCATACTTCGTAGGTTGTTCAAAACCCGAGAAAGATTGACTCGCGAGGAGCAGGCTGGGTTTCGTTCTGGTCGAGGATGTATTGATCATATCTTCACCCTCCGCCAAATGTTAGAACACCGTCAAACTTATCAAAGGCCAACAATCGTAGTGGTTCATGACATCAGGGCTGCTTTCGATTCGTTGGACGGGATTGTTTTCTGGGATTGTCTATTGAAGAAGGGTGTGCCTGAGAAGTTTATTAACATCCTAAAAGCCCTATATAAAAACACCTCAGGTAGAGTGAGGGCATAAAACCACCTTCCTCCATTGTTCCATTCAAGCAGTGGGGTTAGACAGGGTTGCCCAATCTCACCATTCCTCTTCAACTTTGCCATCGACGACATTCTGGAAACAGCTCTGATGGATGTAAGTAATGGTGGTGTGGATCTGTTGCCTGGAGAAAGACTTCTCGACCTTGAGTATGCGGATGATATTGTCTTACTGTGCGATAATGCCCAAGCCATGAAATCCGCACTTAGTCAGTTGGCAATCTTTGTCCGTAGGTACGGTATGTGCTTTGCACCTTCGAAGTGCAAAGTACTTCTACAAGACTGGCAAAACTCTAATCCTGTACTCACTCTGGATGGAAAGCAGATAGAAGTGGTCGAGAAGTTCGTGTATCTGGGTAGCTGCATAAGTGCTGGTGGAGGTGTGAGTGATGAGATCAATGCACGTATACTGAAAGCCAGAGCGGCTTATGCCAATATGGGTCATCTTTGGCGCCTTTGTGATGTCAGCCTGGCTGTAAAGGGTCAGATCTACAACACGCCGGTGAAAGCAGTTTTGTTCTATATTTATGAGGATGTCAGACGACTCTCTGTGTTCGATCATCGCTGTCTCCGAAGGATTGCTGACATTCAGTGGCAACACCATGTTAGTAATGCAGAGGTTCGGCATCATGTGTTCGGGCACAGAGACGATCATGCAATTGGTGTCACCATCTTGAAACACCGACTTCAGTGGCTTGGACATGTTCTACGAATGTCGTCCCAAAGAATTCCACGTCGTACATCATTTGCCGACTCTGGGACTGGTTGGAAACAGGGGAGAGGTGGTCAGTGTATGACATGGTGTCGTGGTATGAAAGAAAGCTGCAAAGGGCTGGCTTCTGTCGGTCCTTCACGACTCCGTGGCTGAGGTCCGAGAGATGGTGCAACACAGTGACTAGAGACGTTATCAGATATGGTTCAGAATAAAAGCCAGTGATCCTGCTGTAACCTTCTTTTACTTTCTTCATAAAAATAGGGATGTTTCTTCCTTAACTGAAAGATTTCTTCTGGTTGAACCTTCCCATTTCCCCATTATTATTACTATCATTATTATTGTAATTATTATTATTACACTACTTTACACTAATCTGGTCGTTAATATTCTTTTTTTTCTCTTCCCATTCTCATTTTTTGTGTGACGCATAAATATTTTGTGCCCTCTTGTACCAATATTTGTGTTCAAATAAGTAAATAAATAATTCATTTGCTAGTCACCTACACCTTGGAAGGATACTTTATGAAGTAACTGAAAATGGAAGTGAATCAGTAGAAGTATTGGCGAATCAAGAAGTGGACACAGAGCCTAGAAAACAACCACTTGACACCAATCACACGTTCCTTTTGTGGGAAGTTCTTGATGTATTACCTCCATACCCTAAAGGCCTTACCACTGGTGACAAAAATCTGTAGGTGTCCTGTTTTTAGGACTAGCCTCGTCTAACGTCTCTTTCAGTTGTAGGAAGGTATTATTGCTGTAGGTGTTGGTTCTTTGGGGGAAACAGCATACTGCCGTCACAGCCCTGTACAGTCAGTAGTGTGACCCCACCCTCAGATCTTAAGTTTGTACTTTTAACTTCATTGTTCTCTAACTGAGCTGCCCACCACGGTAGGACCTAAAAGAAAGTGTTCTAGCTAATATAGATCGATTGGGTCATTACGACAGCTGAGTCTGGCAACCACGTGAAGGCAACAGGTACGGATGGGCGAGGTTGATAACGTAAAGATTATGTGCTTATGGTGGTGAGGTTACAGCTGAGTTGTAAAATATGTTTGAAGCAACTATTATATACAGTTAACGACACTCATTTTCAAAGTGAGACGAAGGGAGCTGAAATGGCATGAAATCGTTAATTGTTGATACGAGTTATATTTCACATATTCTAGTATCTCTTTCAAGAACATTACTATAGTAAACAAAAGATCTTGAGTTAAACCGCTGAACTGAACTAAATGTATCTAATGGAGTTACAGCCTTCTGAATATGGTCATTTATTCTTAAAACTACAAACACAAAATTAATGAGAACCCAAAAGTATCCAATTGCAAAGAATTTTTTGGGGGTATAAGGACATAAAACCCATCCAGGTACTTGAAAATCATATATGTGTCAGGAGTAGAACTAGCGAGTTGAAAGATCATCTAGAACAGAAAATTTGTTGAATAGCATGGAACAACATACGCACATAATGAAGTTTAAGGTAACGCAATCAGGTATTTTTCTGGAATTACTTTCAAGATAAAAGATATGCCACGTAGTATTCTCAAATTTTGTGTAAATTCTATTTAACCAAGAATTCTGAACTCAGAAAGAGCTTCACGTTCACTTATTAAGAAAAAATAAAACTTACTGAGACGTTTTTTCAAGAAAAGTCAACAAAGTATTCTGATAGCCGACAAGTACATGACTCAGCATATTACATCGACTGGCTGCTAACAGATCTATTTTTTGCATACTGTCCACTTTTAGGCGATCGAATGATGCTTTTGCTTTACGAACCTAAATGATAAAAATGATGAACAATGGGCTTATTATCGATAAGCTTAAAAAGTAAACAACTTAAAGAAGAATAAAATCAATAAGAACATCGTTGGTTTATATTAAATAGGGACTGATTTACCTGAATTTCCGATCACTAAGTCTGACACAAAAAGATATTGGCTCATAGGAAGCGTGACTTCCTTTTATGTTACGGGTTAGGTTTAATCGGTTAGTGCTGATAAGTAAGAAATATTGACTCACAACTACCTTCAACATAGTACACAATGATATCGAGTTACTTGGGTTACTGGCTATATCACATTTTTTAACTGACCACTACAACGCGATATAACAGCGTGAATGTGTTTACAACTTGATGAACCTTTTGAGTGCTATTAAATCTTTAGGAGTTTCTAATAAGTTGTTTTGTAATGGTGGAGTAGATTTGTGACTCATGTAGATGATTTATGTGGAGTTTTGTTCTCTGAGCTGGATGGTTTGGTCGTGGAGCTTTCATCGTTACTCTGAACGACATCATCAGCACAAACTTCGGGTAGAAGTGGTGTTCAAATTTTTCCACATATGACTCACAGCTTATCCTGTCGACCTCGATGTTGATTGGTTATTGTTGACCTTTAACCTGCCATTGTCTTCTTTATTTTGATTGTGTCCCCATTGATTTGATTCTTGGTCCCATATCTGTTCATGATTTCTCTGACTGGTTGATAAATTGGATCGATTTCAATGTGTTTGTTGACTACTGATTGACTTGAGTGACTAGCTTCTAAAAATTCTTAGGTGCTTTTAGTATTTTCTATCCAAGATCTCAACATTTTCCCAGTCGATTATATTCACGGTTGTCCACATGAATTGATATAAGCGAGTTGACCACTAAATGATATCCGTGTAGACGAAGATGAGGAGGACGTCCACTTTGTCCGATGTAGTGTTTTTCGCAGTTAGAACAATTTATTTTGTAGATGATATCCGACTTGTATTCTATTGTCATTTCGTCGTTTGGTTGAATAAAGAATAAAAGCCGAAAATCATCTACCATTTAAACCGTTCCAACTATGAAAAACACTAAACTGGACAAAGTGGTAGGCTGACGAATTTCAGAAATATTGTTTTTCGTATACACCATTGACATATTGTACAACGTGCTAAACATAAAATAAACTGGACAGATATAAGGAAGATATATATCACAATTTCTGGCTCAGAGTAGATAATGGTAATGATCATCTTTAATTACTGAGCAGAAAAAACGACTATATGGCGAGACGAAAAGCTAAATTGTATTAAATCTAATATTCTGATAATTACACTGGTGAGTAAAACTGATGATGGAGCTTTTGTTATTTATCCAACAACTAATGTAATAACAAATCCTAATGACAAGGAAATTTGATTAATTATATAGTATTCATAACTGCTGTGATAATCGAAAATTTTGAACGACTGGGAATAGGTTAGGGAAGGTATCAATGACTTTATCCGTGAGACGAAATAGTAATATGAATAAGTATTAGTACAATAAAGAAAAGGGAATGTATAGGAAAAATCCTTCGAAGAGTTGGATGAAGATACAACAGGAAATCATTCCGAAACTCAATATGAACCATCCCTGAAGTTTGAGGAACTAGGGACCTGTTTCGGAGTGGGGGTCCGGGCAGTGTCCTACCACATACAAAAATATGATAATGGACAGTTATGGAAATGTCCTGTTCGTTATGCCTATTTGTCTAATCACGTAATATGAAGTTTATTAGAAATGAATTTATTTCACATTGTTTCAACTCCCTGTCTCCCCATATTTCTGTTCTGTTTACTTCTATACTTCGACTCAACTAGTAGTTCATCCTTGTCGAAAGTCCTGTCTTATCTAAACTATCACAAACTGATGAACAGTCGATCTTATGGATTATATCAGGATATACAAACTCTGACACAGCTTTCTGAAGCTACGAGCCTAAATTAGAACTATCGCCGACTTTCGTGCTTGGATGCAAGTCGGACAACAGACAGATTGATCCATCATTGGAAAAGCTTACTATTGACGTATACTATGAGTCTGAGGCTCACATTCAAGACCGGTGATGCCAGAAACTCCTCTCCTGTAAATGAATTTGAAATGTTTGTTCTATATCCCTCTAACCTGGAGACCTTGTAGCACTACCGTCTAGTGTCGCACTGAACGCCAGAGAAGAGGCAGCGCTAGTCGACTGAACCCCTGATAACAATCGTTTATGTACCGTTAGGTCAGAAGGCTGCATTGGAGTGAGAAATCGATGGAGAAACGGAGTACCTCTCCCTGCTCCCCAAATCCCCTGGTACAGCCGAGAGTGAGGAGAGTTCGCTCACTCCCTCGGAATGCTTTCACATGACCACGCGTATACAACCACTCCCAGGGAAGTCCTACTCACTGCCTTATCGCGGCGAGGAGTGTTGTTTACGAAATTGAGAGGACGAAAAGTGAATATTCAGAGCTTTAACCGAGTTGATGGACATGGAGAGTCCTCCTAAGGGAGTTGGAAAACCCTGATTCCAAACCAATGGTGCACATGAGCCCCAGTATCCTGAGGGAACAAATGGCGTATGAACCAATAGTTGGTCACTAGCTACCATGGGACTGCATCTTCCGACGTTGCTCCACTGCCTTGTGAATCCGACCTTTAGGCCGAATGCTCCGGTTGTGGCTCCCTAAGAAAGCCACCTGCTTCGGTTTGGACACCCGAGCAGTGTCGCAGCCCTCACACAAATCAAATGAGATTTGTGTGGCGTATATGTATTTGGTGCCTCCTTGTACCAATGTTTGTGCTTAAATAAATAAATAAAAACGTCCATATTAAACAATTCAACGACTGTTTTATTAACCATTATCATTTTTGCCCAATTATCTGATAAAATCTGACTAAATCAAGTCAACGTTTAAATGGTGCATACCGAATTATTCAGAATATCTATATATGAATTACCTGTGCTTGAACGCACCGAAACTTCTCCAATTGTTTGTATGTATCTGGGTCCAACTCTTCGCTTACGTTTTTCATCCATAACAATGCACCTCGATATTCTGTGCGACCTTGTTCCATAATTTTAACTGTATTTGTTGTATCACTGATTGCCTGTTGTCTGAATGTTTTGACTTCTTGATGAACACGATCAAGTGGACTGAGTAAAGTAAGTCTATTTAAAGCAAAAATTCAGAAAACGATACAGATTGACAAAAACAAGAATCACGACTCCAATGTGGTGTACACGTTTATATGGAAACAGATATAGACTCGATTTGCTTCACTGTACATCTAAATGGACGTACAGACAACCACATATGTGGTTCTTCACAGCACATTATTTTGCTGGAAGTAACGGATCACATCCCTTTTTTATTACATTGTCTCAGGGTTGCCCTGATGCTCGTGGTTATGTAACAAGGGTGCTAAACAATAACAGTACGTCAATCATAATGTTGTGTACTCAGGCAATCGTAAGTTGGTTGGTTAGATGTAATGATTAATGAAGCCGTAGTGAGTCCAAATGCGTATAACAGAAAAAATGCAGTTTTACCTTTGTTGTGCTGAGCTACTTAACGCCTTTCCGACAGCAGACATAATCTTCCCAGCTTGTGTTTTATCTTCTAAACTATATTGTTTTAGAAATCGTCCCATTTCATTTTCAGCCTGAGACAGATCTGAACAGTCGTCAGGGTAATAATGAAAACTTACAGCACAACGTTCTCTGATAACGTGCCAACACATTGTCAAGATCTCGACATGTCAACTGAACAGATTTTAACAGCTGAAGGAGTGATAAATAGGGTGTTTTTACCTCCAACTTTGCGTCGAGATCGGAGTCGGAAGCTACAATATTTTCGTCTTGCTTTCGACGCAGTTTCTTTATAACTGCTTGTTTGGTAGTCCAGTAAGCATTTTTCAGTCTGTGAGATGTTGAATCATTTGTCCTTTGAATATACCGCTCGCAGCTGGGGTTGTAATAACTAATTCGTAATCAGTAATAGACAACCACCAACCAACATACCTTGTCATCGCCAACGCAACGCGTTTCTGAAATTACGCGGATGCTAACTCGTCAGTCCAATACCCAATAGCTTTGTCATGGTTTTGTATTAAACGAATGATTTCTTTGCTCTCTCGCCTTGTTTTTTTTCGGTACGGTGCCGGATGAAAGACACGGTGAGCGCTCAACTTCGAAATACTCAACATCCATTGTCCGGATACCATCAGTAACAGTGGGAGAGAACAAACCAACTTCCAGTTGAAGAGAAGATTTGGTGGGTGGTCCGTGCTCCTCCATGAGAAGTAACAGGTGTAAGTAAGTGTGGAAAATTTGGAGATAGACAAAACGTTTTTCAAAGTTCCAAGTCGTTTACTACTAAAACACTGGATGATAATGGGTCAAAACCAGTTGAGTTGGACAAAAGGATGGATTCGCTATCATTCATTGCCACCTGAAGCAGTGACTCAAATTCGACGCAAATATTAATTTCCAAAACAGGCTAATCCCACTCACTTATTGTTGATAATTGTACTTACTTACTTACTTACGTCCGTTACTCCTAATAGAGCATAGGCCGCCGACCAGCATTCTCCAACCCACTCTGTTCTGAGCCTTCCTTTCTAGTTCCATCCAATTCTTGTTTATTTTTCTCATGTCTATCTCGACGTAATGTGTTCTTTGGTCTTCCTCTTTTCCTTTGACCTTGATGATTCCATGTGGGAGCTTGTCTTGTGATACAGTTGGATGCTTTCCTCATTGTGTGTCGTATCCACTTCCAGCGCTTCTTCCTGATTTCTTCCTCCACTGAGATCTGATTTGTTCTCTCCCACAGTGCGTTGTTGCTAATAGTTTCCGGCCAATGGATCTGAAGTACTTTCTGTAGACAACTGTTAATAAACACTTGTATCTTCTGAATGATGGCTTTCGTAGTTCTCCAGGTTTCCGCCCCATACAGTAGGACTGTCTTGACATTTGTATTGAAAATCCTGACCTTGGTGTTGGTTGACAGTTGCTTTGAGTTCCAGATGTTCCTCAGTCGTAGATATGCTGCTCTTGCTTCACCGATCCGCGCCTTCACATCTACATCAGATCCACCCTGTTCATCAATGATGCTGCCCAGATATGTGAAGGTTTTTTCATCTTCCCAATCTTCTCCGTCAATTGTGACTGGATTGGTGCATGCTGTGTTGTATCGGAGAATCCTGCTTTTCCCTTTGTGTATGTTGAGACATACTGCTGCTGAGGCTGCTGCTACACTGTTCGTGCGTTTGCACTAGAAGAGCCAGATCATCTGCGAAGTCTAGATCGTCCAGCATTCTAGCTGTCCACTGTATCCCGTGCTTCCCCTCAGGTAATGACGTCTTCATGATCCAGTCGATCACCAGGAGAAAGCGAAAGGGTGAGAGTAATCAACTCTGCCTAACACCAGTCTTTACTCCGAACAACTTTGTGAACTGTCCTCCATGCACGATTTTGCAGTTGAATCCATCATATGAATTCTATATGATATTGACTATCTTCTCAGGCACGCTGTAGCGTCGAAGAAGTTTCCATAGTGTTGTTCTGTCCACGCTATCAAATGACTTTTCGTAGTCAATAAAGTAAATGTAGAGTGATGAATTCCATTCAATTGATTGTTCCACAATGATACGTAGTGGTAAGATTTGGTCTGTACATAATCTATCCTTACGGAAACCTGCCTGTTGGTCACGAAGTTGAGCGTCTACGCAGTCCTTCATCCTGTTTAACAATACCCTGTTGAAGACTTTTCCCGGTATTGAGAGAAGAGTGATGCCCCTGTAGTTATCACAGTTGCTGAGATCGCCTTTCTTCGGTATTTGTATCAGAACTCCTTCTTTCCAGTCTGTTGGTGCTTGTTCCTCATCCCAAATCTTATTGAAGAGAATGCGGAGTATCCTTGCAGTTACCGGTACGTCTGCTTTCAGTGCCTCTGCTGGAATGCTGTCTGGTTCCGCTGCCTTGCCACTCTTGATTTACCTGATGGCCATGCTGATTTCTTAAATTGTTGGTGGACCAACATCGATTGGGATGTCCGTGGGTGCTGCTTCGATGTTGGGTGGGTTCAGTGGGGCTGGTCGACTCAAAAGTTCTTTGATGTGTTCTACCCACCTGTTTTGCTGCTTTACAATGTTGGTGATTACATCATCATACAGTTGTCTCATGTTTCCTTCTCTTGCAGCCTTTTCCACCGTCGTTGTCAGATCTTCCACATATTTACGTTTGTCGTTTGTAATGCTCCTATTCACTTGGTTGTTTACTTCTGTGTATTCAGCTTGTGCCTTGGCTTTTTCTGCTCTTGTTCGGCTGGTATTGATTGCTGCTTTCTTGTTCCTCCTTTCTTGAATCTTATCCAGTGTATTAACAATGATCCATTCCTTGTGATGGTGCTTCTTGTGACCCAGAACTCCATGACATGTTGAAGTTGCTCTCCATAGTAGTTCCTTCTCCATTGAGTAGGTCATGAAAGGCCTGGAATCTATTGCTGAGGACTACCTTGAATTTGTTGAGTTTGTCAGTATCCTGAAGAAAGGCCGTATTGAACTTTTGTGATATTGTCCGCCCCATTGTCCGGTGCTTCTTGAGTTTCAATTTCATCTTGGCGACCGACAAGTGATGGTCTGATGCTATATCAGCTCCTCTCTTGGTTCGCACGTCCTCTATAATCCTCCTGAACGTTTTCTTGATGCAAATATGGTCGATTTGGTTTTGCGTGGTGTGATCCGATGAAGTCCATGTGGTTTTGTGTATGTGTTTATGTGGGAATACAGTTCCGTCAATGACCAGTTTATTGAAGGCACATAGGTTTGCAAATCTCTCACCATTTTCGTTCCTTTCTTCCAGACCATGTCATACCATGATGTCTTCATATCCAGTGTTGTCCGTTCCAACCTTGTCATTCAAAACTCCCATCAGAATGGTCGGGTCCTTTGTTGGGCACTTCTCGATGATTGACTGCAGCCTATTGTAGAATTGATCTTTAGTGTCTTCATTGTGGTCGTTGGTAGGCGCATAGCATTGGGTGATGTTCATTGAAAAGCCCCCTTTATTTGTTTTGAAGGAGGCTTTGATGATCCTTGGTCCATGAGATTCCCATCCTATAAGTGCATTTTGTGCTTGTTTGGGCAGCATCAATGCAACTCCTTGTGTATGTGGAGCATTTTCTTCTTCATGGCCGGAGTATAACAGAAGCTCCCCTGAAGCTAGTCGTTGTTGTCCAACTTGCGTCTAATTGGGTTTCACTGATCCCAAGCACCTCTAGGTTGTATCTCCTCATTTCTGCAGCAATTTGGAAGGCTCTCCCAGTCTCTCACATTGTACGAACATTCCATGTACCTGAATAAATGGTCGCTCTGGTTGTCAGAAGGGGCATCGGCTTCGTAACTTCCGAGGGAAGTCGGCTTTCATCATGAGGCGTCATAATTCTTCTAAATGAAGAGCTTCTGACTCCCGGGGCAGAGTTTAAAAGGTTCGAATAATTTTTTCTGGTTAGCGTTTTTTAGCGAGTTAGTTTTCTACGGGATGGGGACGCTAACCCCATGTCCAACCCTCCTCCTTTATCCGGGCTTGGGACCGGCAGTAGCCCCCGGAAGAACTTCAGGCGGAGGTGTTGATAATCGTAGCGTAGAGTTAATCATTTCTAACAGGAATTTATTGTTTCTTAATAATTTAAAACCTATAAGTAGTGCAATTAATGACATTACTGGCCACCAGTTACCCATCTTGGATACAGTTAATGCCGCCTTGATTAAAAATCTGTTTGCGAAACGGATAATATTGATAGCTGAGTCGTCCAGTCGAGCTACTTGCATTGTAACTCCATTAAAGACTGATGGAAATACACATAGAATTTTCGGTAATTACCGCTTGAGTGACAAATCTTCTGACTGAACGCTTAACTCGGTTTCCTAAACTCTTCTAATAACCCTCCCCCTTTATCCGTGCTTGGGACCGGTACTAGCCCCGGGCGAGATCCCAGGCTGATTTTCCAATTAAGGTCCCAGATTTTAGTCGAAATTTACAAATAGTTTTCCCAATTGTCGTTCTGACAACAAGTTATAACAATTACATATCTGTTCTTCAATTTTGTAGGTTACCGGTCAAAAACTCTCAAATACCAAACCAAAGACAATAGAAACCAAAATTGTATAACGGTATAAATTTGGAAGTTTAGTAAAACAAATACACCCAAAGAACACAGTGAAATTATCAATATACAATGTAAAGGTTTTAATCAGACAAATGTCTTCAGTTTTCCCGTAACGCTCCAAACCGAAAGAACCTTTGCTGTTTTCACATGCAAACAAATAGGCAGCGAGGATTCAAGTATGTGCATTTCAAACGATCAAAGACAAACTCTCAGTGTACCACCAGCCTCGTGATCCCTAGGACTTAGACCAGGACGCATATGGATCCGAGTAGCTACATAACATCTACACCTTCAAGACGAAGTTTTGGAATATCTCTTGCTAGGACTCTCTTTCTTGTTCTCAACTCCTTATGATGAATAAGAGTATTTGAATTATAGTATGAACTAAAAATCCCAGAAATAACGTAATCGGATCAAGAAGTACTAGATGAGCACAAACGAATGTATTGTATTTAGAATTCGAAATCAAACATTCTACAAGTACAAAGAAATCATCAGTTCATTCAAACACCACATACGCCACAGCTTAAATTGAAGTCTTAGTGCTTGTAATTGATTGTACGTCTTCTCCTTAAGTTCATCCTGTGTCTGTCCGAGTTTGTTAAATAAAGACTCTGTATTATCTAGAATTCACTCATTAGTATTAGAATTAACAATCGAAATCGAAACAGACTCACTTGCTTCCTGGGATTGTGTACAATCCCCATGTCGGTTGAGTACTGAAACTACTGCTACCTAGAATTTGAGCCATAGAAATTCAGACTATCCTCCCCCACGAAATAATGTCGGATCTTCATATCCCCAAGTTATTAATAATGTGGCTTCATTTAAAAAATATTTCTTACATTGATTATAATATACATTGGAAGTGAATTTGTGATAAGGATAA